ACCAATTTAACAGTTTCTACATGTACCATTTAGTGACATTGATTTTTTTCAGTTGTGCAACCTTTCTCGCCCTCCTGCCCCATTAACATAAACTCACTGCCTCCTAAGGTTCCTATCTAATCTTTTGAGTTGCTGTTGTCAATTTGATCCCAGGTAGATAGTTCTTAAAAGAGCACAATGCTCAAGGCAGACTTTTTTTTACTAGTTAAGCTAAACTGTTGTTTGGCTTCCAGAAGACTTCAGGGGTTATATTTGGTTTAAGGTTTAAAGATCTCAGGGCAGTAGTTTCAGGGGTTCATCCAACCTTCATGGCTCCAGGATGTCTGGAGTCCATGAGACCCTGTAGGGTTTTCAATGGTTGATTTTTTGGGAGTAGATCACCAGGACTTTCTTCCAAGGTGCCTCTGGGTAGACTGGAACCTCCAACTTTTTGTTTAGCAGCTGAGTATGTTAACCGTTTGCACCTTCCAGGGACTCTTGGCACATAGTAAGTGCTCAATAAATGGCAGCTATCATTATTAAGACAATTGTGAATCAGCTTTGATAATTTTTAATAGTAGAAATAATCATTTGAGACTAAATGACCATCAGCAGAAAAAACCAAAACAGATCAAAACCAAACCTGTTGCCATCGAGTGGATTCTGACTCATAGTGACCCTATAGGGCAGAGTAGAACTGCCCCGTAGAGTTTCCAGGGAGCAGCTGGTGGATTAAAACTGCTGCCCTTTTGGTTAGCAGCTGAGCTGTTAACCACTGCGCCACCAGGGCATCAAATGGCCATTAGAGTGACCCAATTTGTGTGTTTTTATGTTACTTTGGTGTTGTCCTACTTCATTTCAGGAGGCCCCAGAGCCATTCCGCTTCTTTCTACTTTTAAGTCCTTACGTGTCCAGAGTATGTATAAGGGGTTTGTGATATTATCAGGAGCTTATTTTGTAAATGTGAGGGGGATGTGTGTTTGGTTGAAGAGAGTGTATTTTGAAAATGGTTTGGCCAGCAGATTTATGAAGTATAGATTTATCCCATTATTAGAAAAACTAAGTTCAGAATAGGAAAAAAAACCTTTATCTATTTATCTAAAATCCAAAATAGTTGGGTAATGGATTAGGGTTTTGGCTATTTAAATATGTTTCTTATGTGTTACATGAGGAAAAGCAACTACTTCTCATTATACTGGAGCCAGGACACTCACAGTGGCATTGTGCATGGCGGTGGGTTGTGGTAGGGGAGGGAATACTTGGCTATGCTCATGGATAAATTGTGCAGAGCAGAGAAAGACTTCTTTCCCTTCTTGAAATGTCAGCAAACTGTAAAGGGAGGGCCTGGGTTCTACAACAGGCTTGGAGCTCTGCTAGATAGCTCAGAGGTCCCCTCAAGGGGAACACTGCAATACTTGCATCTGCAGTAGTCAAAGAGTATAGTAGATACAATGGAGACTCTTCCCTTTGCTTCCCAAGAATTGAATCTTTCAGAACTTCCTAGATTGTTTCAGGGACCCAACTGTTGAATAAACAAGGTACCCTCTGGCATTGGTCTGCAGGGGGTGAATGCTCAGTAAATTGGGCCAGGCTGCCTGGTAAGTGGAGAGCCCTGGTGAGTTGTCCATATTTGGTGGGGGAGGGGGTGCTGGTCTCTCCCTAATGCTGCCGTGTCCTCTTTTACAGATGCCATGTGGCCTGTGCTTTGGACCGTGGTGCGTACCTATGCTCCTTATGTCACATTTCCGGTGGCCTTCGTGGTTGGGGCTGTGGGCTACCACCTGGAATGGTTTATCCGGGGAAAGGATCCCCAGCCTGTGGAGGAGGAAAAGAGCATCTCAGAGCGCCGAGAGGACCGCAAACTGGATGAGCTGCTAGGCAAGGACCACACCCAGGTGGTGAGCCTTAAGGACAAGCTGGAATTTGCTCCGAAAGCTGTCTTGAACAGAAACCGCCCAGAGAAGAGTTAACGGAGGAAACGGGGCCCTGTGAGTCCTTCCATGGGCTGAGAATGGTCTTGTCAACATGTCAGCTCAGCATCAGACCCCACCTTTGATCTGCTTTGTTGTTGCTTATTCTGCCGCTCCCGCACCACACACCCACACACATACTGGCTGCTCTTCTAGGGCGGCAGACGCACCAGCAGCTGAGGGGCCAGTGAAGAGGACGTACCTTGTGGGTTCTGGCTTGAAGGCTGCACCTGTTGTGTGGTGGCCACAACTGCTCAGGCTTCTGAGCTTATGGGCGCACTGCTAGGAGGATGTGTGGAACCACTGCTGTCCCATCGGTGACTGTTATGAAATGGCCTCAAATGGTAGTGGCTGGGATTTGGGTTTTACCTTTAGTTGGGACACCTACATTTCTAGTTCCAGTTTGCACTGGGAAGACTTAGAAAATCTACCTGGCTCCCTTCCTAGTTTTCGCTTTCCTTTGTGCTCATTCTTCCTGTAATCCTGTTCTACCAGCTCAAGAATGGGATTCTTTGGGGGAAGGAAAGTGTTTTTCTGTTCTTGGAAGCCCAGGTTGTTCACCTAGGGGCAGGGAAGAACGTCCGCCTGGTGAATTTGCTTGAAAACAATCACCATCTTCCACCCTCCCCTCATTGTATAGTACAAAACATGATTAAACTGGCACGTGAGAACCGTATGGATCTTATCCTGTCTTCCAGTTGGTGTTTGGGGTCTCCTTAGGAGTTAGGCAAGTGCAAGCACTTCAAAGTAGGATAACGTTGGTGTTTAAGGACTCCGGGGCCTAGAAGCTTTGTTTACTAGCGTGGCTGTGGTGAATCCTGGAGGTGCAGGTTCCCAAGAGCCTTTTTACTATAACGAGGATCGTAGGACCTTTCAAAGTCTAAATTGCAGGAGACCAGGGGAGCTTGACAGTGGCTATCAAATTTCCCAGTTTCTCTTTCTCTCTCTGTCTCACACGCACACATACACATACTTTCCCCTACTGAAGTAAAATACGCACATGAAAGAAAATTTAGTAGGGATAAGAGAAAAGTCACCTACACTCCCAGCACTCTAATATGACCACTGTTAACATTTTGTCCTCTTTCACGAATTCTCTGCACAGTATTTTTTTAGGTGGTTGTCATTATGATACATTTAGTTTTGTGTTCCTTTTTCATAGCATTTCATATTACAATAATTTTTTCATCTTATCACATAGACTTCATAATCATAATGGTTTTTAATAGCTGCATAACTGCCCATCAAGTAGAATATAGCATAGTTTGTTTTGGGCAATTTCCTTATTGCTGGACATTTGAGTGGTTTCGGGTTCTTCACTAGTATAAATACTGCAATGAATATGCTATAGAAGGCTTTGTCTGCATTTTGGAGTAAATAATAGGAATAGTAGATAGCATTTTGGATGAAATACGATGAGCAATTAAATGCGTTTCCTAAAGGGCTGTAGGAGTTCTAAATACTACCGCTTACGATGTTGCTGCTGAGGCTGTAAGGGGTGTGAAAGCAGAGGGCAGGAAGGGGCGTAAGAACCTGTTGCCTCATGAAGTTGCCTGAGTGAGCAAAGGGAAATAATGAGCACTGTTATTATGTGCCATCAATTTGGTTCTGACTCATAGGGACCCTGTGTACAACAGAACAAAACACTGCCCAGTCCTGTGTCATCCTCACAATCGTTACTATGTTTGAGCCCATTGTTGCAGCCACTGTGTCATTCCATCTCGTTGAGGGTCTTCTCTTTTTCACTGACCCTCTACCAAGCATGATGTCTTTCTCCAGGGACTGGTCCCTCCTGATAAAATATCCAAAGTACTTAAGATGAAGTCTCGTCATCCTTGCTTTTGAGGAGCATTCTGGCTGTATTTCTAAGACAGATTTGTTTGTTCTTCTGGCAGTCCATAGTATATTCGGTATTCTTTGCCAACACCATAATTCAAAGGCATCGATTCTTCCGTCTTCCTTATTCATTGTCCAGCTTTCGTATGCATATGAGGCAACTGAAAATACCCTGGCTTGGGTCAGGCGCACCTTAGTCCTTAAAGTGACATCTTTGCCTTTTAACACTTTAAAGAGGTCTTTTGCAGCAGATATGCCCAATGCAATACGTCGTTTGATTTCTTGACTGCTGTTTCCGTGGGCGTTGATTGTGGATCCAAGTAAAATGAAATCCTCGACAGCTTTAACCTTTTCTCCATGATGTTGCTTATTGGCCCATTTGTGAGGATTTTTGTTCTTTATGTTGAGGTGTAATCTATACTGAAGGCTGTGGTCTTTAATCTTCATCAGTAAGTGCTTCAAGTCCTCTTCACTTTCAGCAAGCAAGGTTGTGTCATCTGCATATCGCAGGTTGTTAATGAGTCTTCCTCCAGTCCTGATGCTGCGTTCTTCATATAGTCTAGCTTCTCAGATTATTCGCTCAGTAGACAGATTGAATAAGTGTAGTGAAAGGATACAACCCTGATACACATCTTTCTTTAAATCATGCAGTATCCACTTGGTCTGTTCGAACGACTGCCTCTTGGTCTATGTGCAGGTTCCTCATGAGCACAATTAAGTGTTCTGGAATTCCCATTCTTTGCACTGTTATCCATTATTATGATCCACACAATCAAATGCCTTTGCATAGTTGATAAAATACAGGTAAACATCTTTCTGGGATTCTCTGCTTTCAGCAAAGATCCATCTGACATCAGCAATGATATACTTTCTTCCACATCCTCTTCTGAATCTGGCTTGAATTTCTGGCAGTTCCCTGTCCATGTATTGCTGTAACCGCTTTTGAATTATCTTCAGGGAAATTTTACTTGTGTGTGATATTAATGATATTGTTCAATAATTTCTGCATTGTGTTGGATCACCTTTCTTTGGAATAGACACAAATATGGATCTCTTCCAGTTGGTTGACCAGGTAGCCAGGTAGCTGTCTTCCAAATTTCTTGACATAGACAAGTGAGCATCTCCAGCGCTGCATCTTTTTGTTGAAACATCCCAATTGGTATTCTGTCAGTTCTTGGAGCCTTGTTTTTCACCAGTGCCTTCAGTGCAGCTTAGACTTCTTCCTTCCATACCATTGGTTCTTGATCATATGCTGCCTCCTGAAATGGTTGAATGTTGACAAATTCTTTTTGGTACAGTGACTCTGTATTCCATCTTCTTTTGATGCTTCCTGTGTCGTTCAATGTTTCGCCCATAGAATCCTTCAGTATTGCAACTTGAGGCTTGAATTTTTTCTTCAGTTCTTTCAGCTTGAGAAATGCCAAGCATGTTCTTCTCTTTTGGTTTTCTAATTCCAGGTCTTTGCACATTTCATTATAATACTTTGTCTTCTCAAGCCACCCTTTGAAATCTTCTGTTTAGCTCTTTTATTTCATCATGTCTTCCATTCGCATTAGCTACTCTACATTTAAGGGTAAGTTTCAGAGTCTCTTCTGATATCCATTTAGTCTTTTCTTTCTTCCCTGTCTTTTTAATGACCTTTTGCTTTCTTCATGTATGCTGTCCTTGATGTCATCCCACAACTCGTCTGGTCTTCAGTCATTAATGTTTAGTGCATCAAATCTATTCTTGAGATGGTCTCTTAACTCAGGTCAGAAATACTCAAAGTCATACTTTGGCTCTCATGGACTTGTTCTAATTTTCTTCAGCTTCAACTTGAACTTGCATATGAGCAAGTTGCATTGATGGTCTATTCTGCAGTCGGCCCCTGGCCTTGTTCTGACTGATGATATTGAGCTTTTCCATCGTCTCTTTCCACAAATGTAGTTGATTTTGTTCCTGTGTATTCCATCCAGTGAGGTCCACATGTGTAGTTGCCGTTTATGTTGTTGAAAAAAAGGTATTTCCAATGAATAAGTCATTTGTCTTAGAAAATTCTATCATGCGATCTCAGGCATCGTTTCTATCACCAAGGCCATATTTTCCAACTACCAGTCCTTCTTTGTTTCCAACTTTTGCATTCCAACCACCCGTAATTGTCAATGCATCTTGATTGCACGTTTGATCAATTTCAGCCTGCAGAAGTTCATAAAAATCTTCATCTTTGACATTAGTGGTTGGTGCATAAATTTGAATAATAGTTGTGTTAACTGGTCTTCCTTGTAGGTGTATGGATATCATGCTATCAGTGACAGTGTTACACTTCAGGGTAAATCTTGAAATGTTCTTTTTAATGATGAATGGAACATCTTTCCTCTTCAATTTGTCATTCCCGGCAGAGTAGACCATATCATTGTCCATTTCAAAGTGGCCAATACTGGTCCATTTCAGCTCACTGATACCTAGGATATTGATATTTGTGTGTTCCGTGTCATTTTTTGACTGTTTCCAGTTTTCCTAGATTCATAGTTTGTACATTCCATGTTCCGATTATTAATGAATGTTTGCAGCTGTTTCTTCTCATTTTGAGTTGTGCCACATCAGCAAATGAAGGTCCCGAAAGCTTGACCCCATCCACTTCATTAAGGTCGACTCTACTTTGAGGAGGCAGCTCTTCCCCAGTTGTCTTTTGAGTGCCTTCCAACCTGAGGGGCCCACCTTCCGGCACTATATCAGACAATGTTCTGCTGCTATTCTTAAGGTTTTCACTGGCTAATTTTTTCATAGGTAGACCACCAGGTCCTCCTTCCTAGTCTGTCTTCATCTGGAAGTGCTGCTGAAACCTGTCTACCATATCGCTGGTATAGCGTCTAGCATCACAGCAACACGGAAGCCGCCACAGTCTGACCAACTGACAGACGAGTAGTGGCATGAGCGTTAGATGGAGAGTGAATCTGCTGTTAAAAAACTGGGAGGATGTTTGCCTTGCTTCTCATCTCAGGTTCTTTTCTCCCCTGATCCGATGTAGGGGTTGGCATTTTTTAGGTGAGAGAATTGTATTAGCAGTTGGGTGAGGGGAGGATTTCTGAACAGGTAGAGATGCTAGCTGTAGAGTGGGAGGAACTGGCCAGAGGAGGAGGGAACGGGCAAGTCTGTGGTATCCTCCGTTGTTGTTGAAGCACAGTGGGACTGTTGAAATGAACTGCTGTTGCTTCTCAGAGAATGGATCTGCTGGGGTGTGTGGGGAAGGATTGTCTTACTGAAGCAAAGGATGAGCTTTCTGGTTCTGAAAGCATCTGCTAACTTCAGCTTCTGATTACAGGCACTGGCTGATGGGCAGGCCTCATTGGTGGACCAGTGCTGCCACCGTGTGGCAGTACGGAGCATTACTAAGCTTGGGAGCCCTTCACTGGGCTGAACCGAGTAGCAAACCTTGATGCCTACAGGGGTCAGTCAGGCCTACCTACAGGAGACAGTGGCTATTCAGCTCCTTCCAGTTTGTGCTGCTTGCCGAGTGTTACCAGATTTTCCAATTTTTTTTTCCTAAGAGATGCCAGAAATACAAATTTTTTCCCCTTGTAGAACCTCCTGATTTTTTAAATGCTGACAATTCATTAAAAAAAAAAAAATTCTTAGCATGCTAACATACCTGTGAGCTGCCAGTTTGCGAGCTCTAAAACTGTCCCTGCCCTTCTAACGAAATCTGAAATAATAAAATATGCATTTTTGTAGTGATGTAACAACTTGTGGCAAATGTTAGATCCCAGGATTGGTTTCCTTCAAAATGCTTCTGGGTATCCTGCATGTACGCACT